GATGTCTCAATCTCAGCGAGTGTTCTGCGTTCAGGCGGTGTCCTGAACCTCAGCCGTGCCGAGTTCCGGGCAGGCTGTCAGCCGTGTCTCTGCCTGTGGTGCCCCTCAGGGTTGGAGGCTGAACCAGGGCAGTGATGTTATGGGGACTCGGGCCAAAGTGAGGGTGTTTGGGGGACAGGTGTCTGTCTGCACTGAGCAGTGGTGTCCCAGGAAGAGGATGCGGGAGGCCTGGGCTCCCGGGTGCGGCGCCGGACCTGGCCTGGGGTGAGGTGTGGTGGCTGTGACATCATGGGGTACAGGAGCCTCACCTTCCGTGCCCACACCTGTGGGGTGTATTCGGGGCTGGGGGTCAGGGAAGGGATGGCTTTGCCTCCTTGCTCCCCAGGGTAGGGCCTGTAGCAGGCACGCCCAGAAGCCCCCGGCCATCCCCCCCAACCTTGTGTCCCTGCCCTGCAGGGTGGGTGCAGCTTTCCTGGGCCCAGGCTGCAGACACAGGACAGGTAAGGACTCTGGGATAAGGGGAGGGTTTTCGGGCCCCAGGCGGGTGTCCTTAGAGGCTGGGCCATGTGGCTCAGCCAGAACCCTGCTCTGTCCTCAGGGTGTCAGGACCCCATGGCTGCAACGGACCTCCCAGGACCTGTCCTGGCAGCAGTCTCAGCCGATCGTCATTCTCCGGAGGGCTCTGCAGGGCACAGAGAGTGAGCACAGGGCCCAGCCCGTCAAGTGTCAGGAGATCCTGGGAGGGGGGCGGGTTGGCTGGCATGTGGGCTCACCTGCGGGTGCTGTGGCCGTTCTGGCTGCTCTGCTCATTCAATTTTGGAGAATGGACAGAATCACCCCATTGGGCCAATGGTTAAACTGAGGCCTGGAGAGGGTCATGTGTGGCCCAGGGTCTCAGCACGGGTGCGGGAGGAAGAGGAGGCTGACTGGGAAAGCCCAGCCCCTGACCCCCTGCCTGCCCCTGTAGAGAAGGCCTGTCCCCCGGGGAAAGAGGCCCATGTGGTGGACGAAAACCTCGTCTTCTACACGGAGTGGGAGCTGGAGGCCTGTGTGGATGGGGCCCTGCTGGCTGAGCATATGGACCGGGTGAATGCGATTCCCTTCACCTACCAGCAGCTTGACATTTTAAAGCGCAAATTGGACCAGGTAGTTCCTGATTTGGGTTCCCGCCTGCTTGCGGTGCCAAAGCCTTTCCCAGCCCCCTGGGAGTGGCTGTGGCCCTCATGGTCTGTTTCCCCGGCAGGCCTACCCACAGGGGTACCCTGAGTCCCTGATCCAGCGCCTGAGTTACTTCTTCCTTGAGGTCACCCCCGAGGACATCCACAAGTGGAATGTCACATCCCTGGAGACCGTGAAATCTCTGCTTAAAGTCAGCACAGGGCGAAAAATGGATGCTCAGGTGACCACCTGCTGGGAGGGGAGCACAGGGGGTGGGCTGTGCAGGCCTGAGGGGCTATGTCTCTTCCTGCCCCGAGGCATCTCACTGGGTCCTCCCACAGGTGGCTGCCCTGATTGCCCGCTATCTGGTGGGCGGGGGCCGGCTGGACAAGGCCACCCTGGACCTGCTGGCCAGTTTCCATCCTGCCTACCTCTGCTCCCTCAGTCCCGAGCAGCTGGGCGACGTGCAACAGGATGTGGTCTGGTGAGTCCCTGGGGCCTGCTGGTGTGGAGGGTGTGCTGTGCTCCACGCTCACTTCCTGGCCCCACACTGCCTCCCCAGGGTGGTCAGGCCTCAGGACCTGGCTGCGTGCCGTCCACCGCAGATGGACGTCCTCTATCACAAGGCCCGCGTCGCTTTCCGGAACATGAGCGGTTCTGCATATTTTGCAAGGATCAAGCCCTTCCTGGGTGAGCCAGGAGGACATGGGGGGGGCGGGGCGTGCCTGAGGTCCCCATCGGTGCTGCCAGCTCCTCACTTTCTGGGCTTCCCCCTGGTGGTGTGACCAGGGGTCAGGGTGCCCTCCCTCCCGCTAAGCCAGCGGTTCTCAACCTGTGGGTCGCAAACAATGAAAATATATCCTGCATATCAGATACTTACATTATGACTCAAAACAGTAGCAAAATTACAGTTATGAAGTAGCAACGAAAATAATTTTATGCTTGGGGGTCACCACAACATGAGGAACTGTATTAAAGGGTCGGGGCATCAGGAAGGTTGAGAACCACTGCTAAGCGTATATAGGCTGAGGCCCTGTGCGTTCCGACCCCTGCTCAGGCACGTGACCACCTCCAGCCTCTACCCTGACTGGGAGAGGCAGGGGGTCACCAGGATTTGCCCAGAAATTCCTGAGGAAAAGGGGGTCCCGGTAAAGGAAGTGGGCTCCTGCTAGCTTGTGGTCAGAGGGTGAGGGGGGGAATGTTGTGAGGTCTTATGCGCAGGGCCCCTCTCCCTGGGCACAGGTGGGGCCTCCACGGAGGACTTGCGGGCTCTCCTTCGGCAGAACATAAGCATGGACATGGCCACGTTCAAGAAGCTGCGGAAAGAGGCCTTGCTGGTATGGCCACCAGAGGGGCGGGGCCGTTGGAGGGTGGGCCGTGGGAAGGGAGGGACCACGGAGAAGGGCTGGTCCCGGATGGGGGCCTTTCAGGGCAGGGGCCACTGAGAGGGTGGGGTCTTGGGAGGGGCAGGGCCCTTGAGCCAAGGCCAGCTCCAAAGTCTGAGGTGCTGAGGCAGGGTCAGGGGCTGGGGAAGCCTGGGATGGTTTGGACACAGCGGAGTCCAGCAGCCTCTGGACAGAGGTGGGGAGACCCTGACGGTCGTCTGGGGACTCCGGCAGCCGCTGACCATTGCCGAGGTGCGAAAGCTTCTGGGTCCAAACCTGGAGGGCCTGAAGGCGGAGCAAGGGAACAGTCCTGTGCGGGACTGGATCTCCCGGCAGCGGCAGAGCGACCTGGACAGCTTGGGGCTGGGGCTCCATGGCGGCATCCCCAACGGCTACCTGGTCCTAGACCTCAACTTTCGAGGTGGGCAAGGGAGGCCAGCGGGGAGGGCTGGGCAGATGAGGTGGAGGGTCTGAGTCACTCCCTCTCTGTGCAGAGGCCCTCTTGGGGGGCTCCCACCTCCTTGGACCTGGATCTGCGTTCACTGTGATCCCCGCTCTGCTCCTGGCTTGGCTGCTGAACTGAGCTCACTGCCCTGCAGGCTGAACGGGGCCCTGCTGTGGAGATTCCCGCTGGTGGGAGCGGCCTGGGCGGTCCCTGCTCCATCCCAGGGGGTGGAGGCTCAATAAAAGAGAACCCGTTCCCCCTCCAAAGAGGTGACCTGTGGTGCTCCGGGGAGGGGCTGAGGGATGGGGGGTGG